CAGTAGCAAAATTACAGTTATGAAGTAGCAACGAAAATAATTTTATGGTTGGGGGTCACCACAACATGGGGAGCTGTATTAAAGGGTCGCGGCATTAGGAAGGGTGAGAGCCACTGCTCTAAGGAAGCCTGAAGGCAAGGTCTCCATCACATTTTACAAATTCTGGGCGACATCCCTCACTCAAAACCGTGAATGTTTAGACCACCAATTCCGCTGCCCAGGACCTTTATTATGAAGTCCTCTAACCTGTATAACAAAACAAAACTTTAAAAATAACCACTTAAAGAATGTCCTAGAAAAGAACTGAAGATATTTCAAATTGAAAGATATTTGTTCCCCAAGATGACGTGGGCCACATTGTTTAACTCCCGATTATAAGATCAATTCCAGGTGTAACGCAAGTTTTTGCAAGTTTTTCTAGAGTATGTGTGGCATGTAAAATTCTTTCACTTAGGAAGTTACTTCCTCAGGAACATTTTGTTTTCCTCCCAAAAGATCAAAATTAATCAACTATTAAGTCCCGCTCTGCTAAGAACCACCCCAATCACCAAATTTTCTGAGGCTCCAGCCTGAATTAAGAAGAAAGAACAAAGGGATTGGTAAATGCCAGGTTGGCTGGGTGGTACCTGCATTAATGATGAGGAAATGGAGGCCAGATACTGGTCCAGGTCACTCAACAATGGTTAGATCTAATGCGACCGCCCCAAGAGCCCTCGAGATAGAAAGCTTAACCCCACTGTACAGGTCCACAAACCAAGGCCGACATCACAGAAGTAGAATGTGAACATGAGGCCTGGCCCGCTCCAATGCCATGCCCTTTCTACTCATACCTAACAGCCTCTAGAGCCCAGGAGAAAAACCTGTCGTTGCCAACCAGCTGTGTGACCCCGGGGAAGTAGAGAACAGGTGTCATTTATTTTTCCTCTTAATAGGGAAGGAAGGCTTCCTCTCTCCACCCATCAGTTTCCCTTCCCTACAAGGATCTGATCAGTAAGTCTGGGAGGAGAAAGGAGGCATGCAGATACAGCCAGCCCCTCCCTCTGTCCTCACAACATTCGGGCCTTACCCTGTAAGGGGGCCAGCCCCAGGGCAGCACTGGAGGTTAATCTCAGGAAGGCCACATTCTCTCTACCAGCTTTGTCTGTTATCAGCAAGAAAGGTAAATTTTGCTGCCCATGTTCCTTACTCCTGACTTCTCAACTGACTCAAACCCAGACAGGGAAACAGTAAATCTGGTCCTCCTTGAGTACCCCAGCACCTGCAAAATGAAAACATTTCTCAGACAGAAACTATTATCCAAAATAGAAGTCGTCGTTAGCATCGGTAGCTAGTATTAATAAAGGAAGGGAGCAGAGGGAATCGGGTACTTTGAGCCTGAGGAGCTAGGGAGCTGAACAGACACGGCCTGTTCACTAGGAAGCTGCATCACTCGCAGGCTCCCCAGGAGGCCGCTGTATCGAGCTAATCCCCAGCGGGCAGGAAGAATGTCACTAGTTATTACCAGGGGAGAAATAAAAATAGCAGGAGGAATTCCTCTGCTGGGCGTATGCCCAGTAGGAGCCAAGATGGTGCCGGGAGGTCCTCCTACTATGGGGCACGGGCTGTAGGAACTAAGACAGTCACCATAAAGGGTAGAGCCTCGTCTGAGTGAAGGAGTGGATAAGGGACACAGGACCCAGAAGATGTAGGAAATGCACTGATTGGGGGAAGTGGGTTGGTCAGTTTGAAAAAGCGCCTGGTCCTTCCCAAGCCCAGGATAAGGTAGCGCTTGCCCCGCTGGCTGTTCTCCTCTATAGCAGCCAGGCGACCCCTCGAAGCCGCCTGCCCGAGCACAGGGGGAGCAGATGGGAACAGGCTGGGCAGGACTGAGCTCTGAAGCAAGGCACAGGGTCTCTGGATGGTGGTCCTCCTTCTGGGCTTAATGAAGACAAGACTGGACTTTCACAGCAGGACTGAGCCGTGAGCCATCAGGAACCGGGGCACGGCCTTCCATTCAACCAACATAACCTGGCCGCTAAACCTCGTCCTCCTATTTGTGGGTCCCTCGAATGCTTTCCTTGCGACTCCGTCAAAGGGCCTCATTTCCACCCGCAGCATGATGACTCCCTTCTCTCTCTCAAGGAACCTGTTATAGAAAGAACACACACACCCACAAAACTGAAAACCATTCTCCAACATTAACAAATGGAAACTGTTAACGAGTACACCTACTTTCATAAAAATAAATGTTCCCCAACTGAGGCAGGTACACATTCTTGAAAGCACAGATCCTGTTTTAAAAACAAAAAGATGCCTTAGAAATGTCCAAGGCCGTCTAGGGCTCAGGCAGAGGAAAGGTCGTGGAGACATTCTCATCTGGCTTCTAGGCCAAGGGCTTCTACATCCACACCTGTCAACACTTCCCAGCCACTCCCATCTCAACCAATGTCTCTCCCACTCCTTTTGTTCCCACTTCCTTAATTTTCTTGAGAAAATATTAAGTCTCTTAGTGTACACCACTAACAAATTATATTTTCCTTCATTCTGCCTAGAAATGGGTCAATTTTGGCATTCAGCAAGTATGTGCACCTAAATATTTGGCACTGAGCTAAGAGCACAGGTTCTGCCCTTCAGGGCAACAGTGGGACAGGAAAAGGTGCTAAATTGAGGATAAAGTGGCAGGTGGTACAGAGGGAGCACAGCAGAGAGAAAGGCACCCTGGATGAGGTGAGAGCTAGGCTGGAACCTGCCTCAGATATCTGTAAATTCTTCTGTGAAAGTTAAAGTCATTTCCCCCCTGGCCAGTGTGTTCAGTGGTTAGAGTGTCGGTTGGTGTAACAAAGGGTTGTAGGTTCAATTCCCAGTCAAGGGCACATACCTAGGTGCAGGTTAAATCCCCAGCCCTGGTCAGGGCACATGTGGGAGGCAACCAATCGATGTGTCTTTCTCACATTGTTTCTCTCTCTCTCTACTCCACCTCTCTCCCTCCTTTCCACTCTCTCTAAAAATAAAAAAATCAATGGGAAAAAAAAAAAAGATAGTCATTCCCAGTTTGCTTCCCCCTCAAACACGTTATCCAGAGCTCATGACAACGTTACTAGAAAGGGGACCAGGCCCTGAGCGGGTCTGCCTAGGGCCGGCCGGTAGTGTGTGGGTTCTTGACTTCATGCAGGAAAGATTCCACAACGAGTCCAGGCGATTTTTTTAGGATGATTATTACAGGTGGGGTCAGTGAAATAAGGAAGAACCTAGGATAGAAAAAGTTCCCTTCCTCTCTGTAAAAAATCAATAAAATATATTAAAAAAAAAAAAGAAAAAGCAACAGGAGAAACTAGGTGGGCATTAGACTGGGCTGCTTTGGCTCACTTAGAAGTCAGAGAAAAGGGGACCTTGGGGAGAGCTTCAGGGGGGTTGTCATGGACAAGCAGCCGCTGCCCACTGCTCCCTGGTTGCAAGTCTCGCTGTGTCCCTTAGAGCTTGAGATGCATGCCTGTGGGGGAAGAGTAGGGGGAGATGGAAAGGACTTTCATGTTGAGGGGTTTTAAAGGCTGCGAATTTAGGGGAGGTCTTAAAGAAGGACTTCAATAGCATATTCATCAGTTTTATGCTGATGTGCCAAAATGAGATTCATTCCCTTAAGTTCATTTGTCCTTGGGTTAGGTTGGCAAATGGCACTAATTGGATTTCTGTCATCTAGCTCCCTGAATAGGGAGATTTAAGCTATTTACCCCCTGGATAAGAAGAAATGTAAACTGTTTACTCTTAAGTGTCCTTGGTTACAGAATAGAGGGTTTTATAATTTAAAGGGCTGTAAACTGCTTGGTCTTTTACTATCTGTCTCGGTTTCCCTATTCAGCTTGTCCTGGCTTACTAGCCTGTCTCAAAACTAGAGAGAAGTAGCTAGAGCAACTAATGGAAGGTTTTAGAAAACCAGAGTACACAGCTCAAATCAGCTAATTTTAGACAAAGAGAAAATACCGTAGCATGCTACAAAAGGGTATTTTTAGTCTGTTTCAGTTAACCACTCTTAACTTCTCAGTAGAAAGGAAGAAAAAAAGAAAAAACTATTTCAAGTTTATTACAAGGAAAAATGGTTTTTCCTTCTTTGCCTCGTTTATTTCATCCTAAAACAAAAAATAAACAATTGACATTCTATAACGAATTCCACTCTATGCCTAAACACCGTAAGTATTTGCTTTGTACTCAGGGAAGAAGGTGGCCTACAGCTGCTATTCCTTGCTGCAGACCTTGAGAAAATATTGAACAATGTGGAACACATACGAGCAGTAGGCAATAAGTTAACACAAAACCTGAGTTTCCTTCCCTTCCCAATACTACCCAAGAATTGCTCCAACATTCCCTAGCTTAAGGGGAACCTCAAGCCTGCCCCAGTCTCTTACAAACTCTGACTAGCCCAGCCTGAGACCATGCCACAGTTTGGGGTGGGAGGATCGAGAAGTTCAGCTTTCACTATACACAATGGCACTTACTTATTTTCTGCAAAAAGCCATCAGTCTTGGAAATCTTGGCTACGCCATCCAGTACCCTGACACTCCTTTTTCAGATCTGTTACTAACTCAGCCTCATTTTCCTGAAAACATCCCCCAAGAAGCCAGATTCCTCCTCATCCTTGGATTCCTGCCAGTCAGCTCGTCTGCAAGGAAAGCAAACATCCCACTCTCAAATGGTCATGCTGTTACACTAGTTGCGCTGTTCACATTTTCCCTGTTCACTCAACAGAGATTAATGAGTGCCTGGCGCTGTGCAAGGTGCTTTGGGACAGACCCTGCCCTTAGAGAGCTCAATGTGTAACAGACTGAAGTGCTGGGTCTCTCAGACTCTCGGATTCCATCTGGTTCAAGGATGGAACAAGTTCCCTCAGCCTTCAGGCTATAAGCTCCTGCTTTAGGCATGCAGATCATTAAAGGAATTCGGCTAGGGGCTTGAGGTTTCATAAAAACAGCTCCTCCCATTTGCCCTTCTCTTGATATAAAAGCCTAAACCCTGTACTGTCTAAAGATGGATTTGAGAACTAGGGCTCTTTATTCTTGGCTTCTTAATCAGTAAACCTTTACTTACCTCAAACTGACCTTTTGAGTTCTGGCCTTTCAAAGTATCGGCACAGGGACTTTGGATGGGTAACAAGCACCGAGGAAAGGGCAGGGGTAACAGGCTGGCTGGTTTCTAATAGCCTTCCACTCAGCAAACCCTTACTGCTACTGTGTGCCAGGCACTAGGGCACATGTGGTTCTTGCCTTCAGTGGGTTTAACCCATCCCTGTATGAGTGAGCTTTACTTACTTTTGCAGAACCATTTCTAAATTGTAGACATAAAACTCTACCCCTAGATCCTTAAGCAAATTTAATTTCTTAATATCATCCAATATCCTTCCCATATTCAGCATTCCCTATCCATCCCGAAAATATATTTCATAGATTTGTGACCCAATCAAGGTTCTTATATTGTTTTGTTAAGTCTTTCTGGTCTTATTTTAAAACACTGAAGTCAGCCCTAACTGATTTGGCTCAGTGGATAGAGCGTCAGCCTGGAGACCGAAAGGTCCTGGGTTCGATTCCATTCAAAGGCACGTACCTCAGCTGCAGGCACATCCCCAGTCCCGGCCCCGGCCCTGATCAGGGCGCATGCAGGAGACAACCAATCGATGTGTTTCTCTCACACAGACGTTTCTACGTCTTTCCCTCTCTCTTCCACTCTCTAAAAATCAATGGAAAAATATCCTCAGGTGAGGATTAAAAAAATAAATAAATATTTAAATAAATAAACAATACACTAAAATCAATATAACTCACACTGAATTCACTACAATGTCAACATTCAGAGGAAATAAGCACAAATATAAGGGGGTGGGGGGAGTAACGTTGCATTCTGGAACTTAATTTTTCATTTCCAGCTGACTAGAATATTGGTATATCTCTTGAGAATTTTCAAGAAGACTATGCAAATACAGTCAAGTGCCTCTTAATGAGGGCTATGTTCTGAGAAGTGCATCATTACGTAATTTCGTTGTTGTGTGAACATCCAATAGCACACTTAAGAAACCGAAATGGTATAGACGACTTACACACCTAACCTAGATGGTATAAGCCCAGTGGTAAGCAAACTACGGCTCTTGAGCCACATGCGGCTCTTTGGCCCCTTGAGTGTGGCTATTCCACAAAATACCACGTGCGGGCGTGCATGTACAGTGCGATTGAAACTTCGTGGCCCATGTGCACAAGTCGGTATTTTGTGGAAGAGCCACACTCAAGGGACCAAAGAGGCGCAGTTTGCCGACCACTGGTTAGCCTCTTGCTCCTAGGCTACAAGTCTGTACAAAACACATGATTAAGTCAATCATGAGGCAAAGTGATGCAATCAAGAGACACAGGAAAGCCCTGGTTGCAGGCTCGATCCCCAGTAGGGGCTGTGCAAAAGGCAGCCGACTGATGTTTCTTTCTCATCGATGTTTCTCTCTCCCTCTCCCTTCCTCTTTCTCTCTAAAATCAATAAAAATGTATTTAAAAAGAGAGACACACACAGTAAACATGAGATGCAAGAGGCTGCTGCCTGCATAACACAGCATACTGTTTTATAGCAAACTTTTTTTACTAAGTAGAAAGATTACACAACCCTCTAAAATAATGACAAAAAGTATAACACAGTAAATACATAAACCAGGAACACAGTCGCGTATTGTAATTACCAACTACTCTGTACAGTACATGATTATGTCAGCTATACTTTAAGTTGACCGGCAGTGCAGGTTTGTTTACGTCAGCATCACCACAAACACGTGAGTAATGAATGCATTGCTCTAAAAAATGACTAGGAATGCTTCAGCTCCATTATAATATTTTTTGAAGCCTGCTGCACACATACATGCACATTGAAAGGAAATTAATTAGAATAAATATTTTAATATCACTATTCACCCTCTCTCTAAAATAAAAGTGTCAACCAAATTCACAATCGACATTGACAGACGGAAACACATGCGGGTGACTGGCACCAGCGAGAGCTTTATATCCTATACAATAAAGAGCTAATTAGACCAAAGAGCAGAACGAACCTCCAGACGACTTTCCAGATGAAGCCGGGGCTGCAAGGGCCAAGCCCCTTGCATGAATTTCATGCATTGGGCCTCTAGTATATAGATAAACTTGCTTAATTAGTCCTGCTTTCTGATTTAGCTGAACTTTTCCCAGCCCAGTGAAGCACTCCAACTTCTCTTTCAGGTAATTGTCAGCAACACAGCAGTAAATATCAACAC